GAGATTTACTCTGAGGGTTTTGTGTTACCAGCTTGCCCCACGGAAAGCCAGTCCCAGGGATGAAAAGCCCAGGGAGAACAAAACTCCTGCCTGTGGCTCTCTGAGCCCTGCTGGGCCAGGCACTGCCCAGGCTGGCGTGGGAGCCCCAACCCCATCTGCTCAGACCAGGGTGCTCCACAAACGTGCAGATCTGCTCTGGGAAAGAGGCCGAACCTGGCAACACGGGCTGGGGAGCAGAGCAGCGGTGGTCTATGGCCATGCTGGATGGGGAGCTATGCCAGATGGAGAGCTACTCGCTGGCAGCACAGCTTTGCAAGGCGAAATGTGCTGCAAAACTGCCAAGGAGAAGGCAGGCGGCTGCTGTTGGGACACAGCTCCCGGGCAAAGATGTTGGTCAGTGATGAACCCACGTTCCAAGGTCACATAGTCACAGACTTTGTGCTGCATCTGCATCATTCCCTCCTCTGCCACAGATGGTTCAGCATCTCTGTCACCAACAGATGATGGCAGGACCCACTTGCGTGATGTTCCCCGGTGATGCTGGTGTTCAGGGGACTGCAAGTGCACCTTGGCCTCCCTCGCAGTTGGTGGCACCAGCTTCTAAGGGAGCAGGACTGGGATGGAAGGTCAGGAGATCTCCCCTTGGTCTTCACCCTTAGTGGGGTGTGTTTTCAAACGCTACTGAAAGGCTCCAGATGTCATCACGACTTCTAAGTCAACATGAGGCAGGCAGCACCTCACTGCCCACGTGGGGTTGAGGTTCAGCAAAACATACTGGGAGACTGGAGATGGATGAAGGGAGTAATGGGAAAGGCATTGCCTTAACCAGAGCAGCTTTCTCACATGTCCAAGCTGCCATGAACACTCCGCACTGGCGTGCCGGGGGCCGGCAGCCTGCCTGAGGATGTGCTGCCTGGGCTGGGTTTCGGCGGGGACGTGCCCAGGCAGACGAGGGGTTGTGGCTGATGTTTTAACTCGCCTCCAAGCGTGGAAGGGCAGTGGGCGGCTCGAATTCACCCAGCTCAGCATCTGCAGCATGGATTCTACTTGCAGTCTTGCAAAAGCCTTATAAATTTTTTAGAGCAGCCCAAAGTGCCTGCTGAGTCGGCCAATCAGCTCTGGTGGATTAAGGAAACTTACTTTAAATTATTAACAGAGCACAGCCAGACGTGAGGCCCGTGGGGTGGAGGTGGGAAAGGAGAGGTTACTCATTCCTCCTCTTCCAGTGGGTGCCATGAGAGCAGCCAGCACCAGGCTGGGGCCGGGCAGAGGTGTCCACTCACACCTTGGAGGATGCTCCTGTTCATGAGGTCTTCCCTTCCCCATCAGAAAACCCCAACATGGCATCACTGCTATGCTGTGCACATAGGCTGCTTACATCTTGGAGATGATGGCCCTTTTGCAAACTGGATGCTGGTCCACATCCAGCCCCCACCCCCCCACCTCCACCTCCTTCTCTCTTCTTCCAGATCCATTGGTTTCTCAAACACCCTCTTGAAGAGCTGATCGGCCGTTCAAGAGCAAGCCAGCCCTGATGCTCTTTGACTTTCCTGCAACCTCTAGTGATTTTCCCCCATGAGCTTTAAATTTCAGGTAATATAACGCCATTTGCAAACTCTGGTCTCCAAAGAAACAACAATAAGCATTTTGCAGCTCCTGAGGTTGTACTCTTCACTTCGCTATGGACACGTTGCCTGCCAGGGCCAGGCTTTGCAGAGTTTGGGACGTGGGGCTGGATTTCCTCTCCTTGGCAGCCGATCCAGAAGGACTTTGTCCCTCTTTCCACGAGATGGCATCGCTGAGACTGCTACAGAGGGGAAGCATCCGCTTGCGGCGTCTGCAGGGAAGGCAGTGATAAAAAACGCCTCCAAAACCCAAAAAGTTGCTAGGAAAAAAATGCCTCTGAGTTCTCGGTTGTGAGTTCCCAGCAAACCTGGCCATGACGGGGAGGAATCGGACGAGAAGCCAGTGTTTTAAAATGCCTCTCCCCAGCACAGCCCTCCGTATCACCTGCCATGGGCCACGCAACACCCCCCTGCTTTCTCACGGTGTTGACGGCTCTCGAATCAACTTGAGTCCATCGCAAGGTCTGCTGAAAGCCATCTGTGCCGCAGTTCAGGGTGATGTTGGGTTGCTTGTAATTTTGGTAGAACCCCAAAATGGGTCACCCACCCCAAATGAAGCATCATCCCCAGTGGGCCTGCAAGCCCTGTGGGGTCAGGCAACGATTTGCAGGTGGTGAGTCATTGATCCAGTCTCAAAATCCAGATCCACAATGAGTCTTCAAACTCAAGGTTTGGGTGGAGGCAGGTCACGGCTTCATTTGAGTCTGATTTGAGATCCCCAGAAATTCAGCATACTTGATTTTCTCTCTCAAACCTCATGCTTTGAAGTGGGTCTAAATTAGAGTATTTCTGTTAATTCTGTCTCTCTGCAGTGCCTGACCCAAACCTCCCAAAACAGGGGATGCTGCAGCCGCAGACATCTCACTTCAGGGCCTGCCTCTTCTTTTTGATCCTGCAGATTACCTGGGGTACCAACCACACTCAAGTGAGGCTGAAAACTTGGACCTGCTGTGTGCCATGAGCAGGTTTGAGTTAAATCCTCCGGGGTTTATATTTTTCCTTTTCTGCAGCTACACCGTTAATTGCCGCACCACTTGTGCATCGCTCCCAGAGCATCTTTCACAGCTCCCCTGGCACATTTCTATGGAAACGTAGCTATGGTTTTGTTAAACTCATTTTTGTTTTTAAAATAACTACAGAGGACCAGGTACAGAATTTGCACTGCTTTTCTCTGTCCCTCACCTGACCCCAAGGTTGTCCCCGCTCCTGCTGTGCCAGGGACTGGCTTCCAGTGGGGACCAGAGGGCTAGAGGTTCCTGCACAGCATGGGAGGGCTGTTCCCACACAAGTTCCTCCTCCTGCTGCTTTTAAGGATGGAAGAAGAACATGCACGTGATGATGTTCTCCTGCCCTGCTTGGAAATCCCAGGGAGGGGCACAAGTCCACCATTCTGGCTCAAGGACAACGAGCCTCAGGAGTTGGGTAATGCAGGAGGAGCTGGAAGATGAGATTAAATTATCAGTAGGAAAACAGTCTTCTCCTGCAGTCGTGCTGTGCCTTGGAGGGATCCCCAGATCCCCTTCCAATCTGTGGCACGCCAAGGACACGGCACTTCACAGAGCCCCAATGCTGCAAAGACCTTGGGCATCAAACCAATTTCTGTGGAGGAAGCTGGTGGCTGCTGGGGGTGCGAAGAGGGATGGGGAGCCTCAGTGGCCTGCGCACACGGTTTTGGGGAAGGTGGCTCAGCGAGCCGGTACATGTCTGTCTGCTGTCAGACCTCATCCCTGGAGGTATTTAAAAGAAGGATAGATGAGGTGCTTAGGGACATGGTTTACTGGTGGGATGGCAGGGTTAGGTTAAAGGTTGGACTCAATGATCTTAAAGGTCTTTGCCAACCAAAGTGATTCTATGATTCTGTGATTCTATGGGGATGGCGTTGGGGGAGCAGGCGGCAGTGGCTTCGTGCAGCACGCTCTGTAATTCAGTTTGGCATAGGCTCCTTGAGGCTCTGCCTGGGGGCACTTGGCACTGCAGAGCATCAGATGTTAATTAGGATCATTAAAAACTCCGGCAACACAAACAGTAATGATGCTTGTGCCTCTGGAGCTCTCCTGGGAAGGACCTCGCATGATGCAGTCCTTCACAGAGCCCCCGCACAGCATCCACTCCCAGCTCTGGGGCTTCTCCTAAAAGCCAAGTCATGAGCACGGACAACCTCAGGATGCCCCAGCAGGCTGCTAACCCCACCTTCATGGTCTCTCGGAAATGTGCCCAGGAGCACCCTCACACCTCCTCCCTCCACCTCTCTGCCCTGCCACACCACCTCCCGCTCCTCCCCACCCTCGGTGCTCTCACCCTTTGCCCCTCAAAGCACCCAGCCGTCATGTTTTGGTCAGTCCTGAACACTTGGCAAACACAACCCTTTGGGTTGGGACAGATGACTCTGGGTGGAGTGGGGAGGGGTGCAGACCTTGCCCCAGGCTGCAAGTTTGCAATGGGAGACAAGACACCATCCTGGGTGAAGACCATGAGTTTTGGGGCTTCTTGGGAGTCCTGACTCACATCTGGGCTCCAGCACATGGCTTCAGTTGTGGAGAAACATTCCTGTCGTGTTGTTTGGAAAGGGCTGGAGGATCTGCCACGTGTGAGGCAAAGAAGCGTGTAGAGAGAAGGCAGCCTTGGCCACTTCTCCCAAAATGATGGGGTATTATAAAGAATAAAAGTGCCACTGCCAGCTCTTCAAGGAGGCATGGGGTATGGTATTGTCTCTCTTTAAATGGCATCACCTTAGGGGCTTAACATATATTTTTTTCCATGCAAAATCAGCTTAATAAAGGCCTTGATAATTGGTATTAGAAGGTTGAGCAGGTTAAGGACAATATCAAGACCCAGGCTGCTGTAAGAGCAGCCCCCGCTTTAGGCTGGGGGAACCAGACCAGACACCTGCATCGCTCGAGGGGCGGGAGCTGGGAAGGGCTGGGCGCTGGGTGACACCCTGAATATGGGTGCCAAGCTCTCCTCCTTCCTCCAGATTTTCACCCCAACCCCATCTGTGCCCATCCCCACCATCCGTTCTAATTGGGACTACAGGGAACCCATCACACCCAGCCCCTCTCAATGACAGACGCACACACAGAGCTCCACACTTTTTGGGTTGGTTGGTTTGGTTGGGGGCAGGGGGGGGGGTTGTTTGTTTGTTTTTTTCCACTGTGGATGTTGTACCGGTTTTATTGGTAAAATTAACATGAAGCCTCACAAACGCTGGAACATGCTTTTCCTTTTAAAGAATTTCCACTGGACCTTAATGGTGAGCATCCAGTCGTTGACATATAAACTCTTACAAGCTGATGTGCACACATGCGCCCGGGGGAGACGGTGGCAGCGTCCTGGTGTCAGGGATGGTTTCTGCGCGATGCACTGGGAGCCCACAATTCATTTGCCAGCCTTCTGGGCCTTCTGGGCAGACTTGGTGACTTTACCAGCCCCACCGCTTTTCTTCTCCACGTTCTTGATGACGCCCACGGCCACGGTCTGCCGCATGTCACGGACAGCGAAGCGGCCTGTGGGGTGGAGAGAGGGGGGACATGAGTGAAACGCGGCCACCTTGCCCTCCCTAAGGCTGAGATCTTTGGGTGGGTGATGGTGGGATCTACACCTACCACTCATGGTGCCCTGTGTTACCCCTGTCCTTGGAGCATGTTCCTGGAGGAACGAGCCCCGAGCCACCAACGCTTGCTCTGACCGCCAAGCTAGCCTGATGCTCCTCTTTGTTTAAACGGCTGTTTATTAAACTTAAATCACATCTGCTCTCCACAAGCTCCTGGCATTGCTAAAGCTTCCAGATGTGCAACATCATCCAAGGAAAGCACGGCACTTCCCTGCATTAAAAGATGTCTCTGCTGAGCAAACTTCCCTCTTTCTTCTCCTGGCCAGTTGTGTTTTAGGGCAGAGATGGGGAAGCTGAAAAATATTTCTGCATTCAGAAACTACCAGGGTTTAGGAACTTTGAAGGAAAGGCCCTGTTGCTCCCAGAGGGAAAACCCAGCCCAGCCTTTGGAAACCCAGCTCAGCAGAAAGGCCGACCCACCCCACCAGCCCTAACAAGGTTCATCCATCAAATTTTGCACCCCCAGCACGTGGGGGAGCAGCTCCCTCCCCAGTCTAACTGGTGGGGGATACTGGGAGAGGTTCAGCACATCTGGTATAAGCTCTACAACTGTAGGGACTTCATGCTCCTCCACAGGAGACCCCAAAAGAGCCGTTCCCTTACCAAGGGGTGGGTACTGGGAGAAGCTCTCCACACACATCGGCTTGCCAGGGATCATCTCCACGATGGCTGCATCGCCTGATTTCAGGGACTTGGGGTTGTCCTCTAGCTTCTTGCCGGAGCGTCGGTCGATCTTCTCCTTCAGCTCAGCGAACTTGCAGGCGATGTGTGCGGTGTGGCAGTCAATGACGGGCGAGTAGCCAGCGCTGATCTGGCCGGGGTGGTTCAGGATGATCACCTGCGGGACAGAGCGGTGTCAGAGCAAGGCTGGGAGCCGGTGGATGGTTTCAAACTGAGTGTGGTGGCACCACCAGCTCTGCCCACCTGAGATGTGAACTGCGCCGCCTCCTGCGGCGGGTCCGACTTGCTGTCCCCGCAGACGTTCCCGCGGCGGATGTCCTTGACGGAGACGTTCTTCACATTGAAGCCAACGTTGTCACCGGGCAGAGCCTCACTCAGGGCCTCGTGGTGCATCTCCACAGACTTCACCTCAGTGGTGATGTTCACGGGTGCAAAGGTGACCACCATGCCGGGCCGCAGGATGCCAGTCTCCACCCGGCCCACAGGGACTGTGCCAATCCCTGCGGAGACATGGACAGAGCAGAACAAAATGTAACCTGCTTGGCATATCCCTGGGCTAGAGCCTAGCTGCAGCAAAAGCAAGATATCTCCAGTGGTTTTCACCGAAGACCATGTTTACTTCTTGCAAAACAAAACCCCCCAGATTTTAGCTGCAAGGTCAACATTAGGGTCTTCAAAAATACCACAAGTCTGTCCTTTCCACCCAATGTTTTGTCAAGAAGGAGAAACACCAGAATGAGAAGGCCCCAAGCAACCCATGTGCCCTGGAAGCTCTTCCTCTATGGCAGCCGTGGCACCTCCTGCATGGAGGATTGGGCCCGTCGTGGTGTGCATGCGACACCATGCTCCATATCCCTGATGGCCACACCATTAGCATGGGATGAAACCCAGCTGTGCCAGCGATTGAGGGTGGCTAATTAAATGAAGGAGACCTTTTACACCCTGTGCCATCAGGAGACTTTGGGAAAACTTACCTTTGGAGTCAGGTAAAGAATCGTTGAGAGAAACAACCTTGAAAAGAGGTTGGGGAGCTTGGCTGGACCCATCTGCTCTTCCACATCCACCCTGATGCCTCCACCTCCCCCTGAACCACCGTACCTCTGCTCTCTAAGGACCTGCCTAGTGGGAAAACCATCTCTCTTTCCCCCAGCACAGCTAGGGGATGACACAGTCCCGCTCACCACCCTCCATCTCCATTGCAAACAAACGGCTGTGTTAAGAAGCCTTCTAAAATCCATGTTCAACCCCTGCCTGGTTTCTGAAGTGCACGCGTCCTTGGAAAAGTGTGGAAAAGGGCTGGGAACGGCTGTCCCTGCCTGATCCGGCAGCCGGGGAGTCAGCAGGGCTGCCTGCTGCTGCCAGCAGGTCAGAGAGCTCACAGGGTATTTATAGCTCAGAAAAGTGTCCCCATCACCGCTCCAGAGGGAAAGGGAGACACGGCCACCGAGGCACTCCCTACATGGCTGGCGCTGCGGTCCAGCTCGGCAGACAGAGGTGCCGGTGATGGACACCAGCATTTGGGAAGCACGGGCAGACCGCGGCCAAGCCACCATGCACCAGCCGCACTGGTGGCCCTCCCCACTGGCCTCATCCCTCATCCGGGCCCCAGCACGTTTTTGCTGCCTCCATCTTGCCCTGCCAGCCGTGACCTCTGGGACACCCAAATTTGCAGCCGTTTTGGCATCGCGCGTTCCCTGGGGAATGCTCACAAACCTGCTGCTCCTCTCCGGTCCCTGGGCACCTGCGGGCACGTCACCCTCCAACCCCAGACAACCCAGTCTCAAACGGGGTCTTGGCCCTGGAGCCAACACCCTTCTCCCCAGCATTATGTGAAGTTTTGAGTCCAATCCCTCCAGTTTCCCAATACCTGGAAATATCATTCCCAAATTCCCATGGAATGAAGACTCGGGTTAAAGCAGAGGGAAGAGGGGCTGTGGCAAGGCTTTTGCTCACCTCCGATCTTGTAGACGTCCTGGAGGGGCAGGCGCAGGGGTTTATCTGTGGGGCGGGTTGGGGGCAGGATGGTGTCCAGGGCCTCCAAGAGGGACACCCCGCTGGCGTTGCCTTCCTTGCGCTCCACCTTCCAGCCTTTGAACCAAGGCATCTGGAAACAGAGCAGCAACAACATGCATAGAGTATGCCCGTCCTCAGCATCCCAAAGTGATCCCAGAGAGACATCCCACCAGGACAACCTTCATGGAGTCAGTCCAACCAGGTCCTGGCTTTACCTGGGGACTGGGGAGCTCTTTTCACTCCACCAGCCCTGCAGGCTTATCCATACCCCCTTGCTCAATGTCCCCCCTCTCTCCCAGAAACGGGAAAACATCCATTAACAGGAGAAAAAGGATGGAAGTGCTTCAACCCAGCAAACTCATAGTCCCTGTTCCCAACACCAAGCTGTGGACGTTGCCTTCCCATGCCAGATGCCTTGATCCTGCCCTCCAGCAACGATGGCACAGGGACCACAGGGTGTCCAGCCAAGTCCCAGCTACAAAGCCCCCAAGCTTCAGTCCTGGGAACCGAGTTTCTTCAAGGCAAGCCCCAGACAGACCCTTCTCCCTGCTCGCTCCTGCTATCACCCATCCAGGGTTTGGTTTTTAAACCCTGGCTTAGGAGGATGCTGGAAACCTGGCGCTTGCACTAGGGCTGCTGAGGGGCAGGGTCATTTTTCACAGATGCTCTCTGCTCCTGCCCTAAATTGGACCCTTGAAGCTAAAATTGGCCAGAAAAGAGGCAGAGGAGTAGGGAAATGTGCTCAGCAGAAGCCATGCTTTGATGCAGGCAGCCACGGTGCTTTCTTGGGGTGATACCGTACAGCTGGGAGCTGTAGCAATGCCGGGGGCTTGCTGGCAAGAAAAATTCGGTCCTGGGTCTGAAACAACCCTGATACAACAAATGGAGATCAGAGTCTGCAAGGTGACTCCCCCTTCCTCTGCCCAGACAGGCTTAGACAATGTTTTCCCACTCAGACATCAAATGCTGCCCGTGTGCCCCAGCTCCATCGCACACATTACGGATGTGGCCTTTCCCTTAGGCACCAGCATCAGCGGTGCAGTGCTTTGGGTATGGGGCTGGGGGTGAAACGGGGCCCCCAAAGTGCCCCCAGTTTCACAGCCATCCCTGGAGGACACAGCTAGTCCCCATCCCTGGAGGTATTTAAAAGAAGGGTAGATGAGGTGCTTAGGGCCAGGGTTTGGGGGTGGGATGGCAGGATTAGGGGAACGGTTGGACTTGATGAGCTTAAAGGGCTTTTCCAACCAAAGTGATTCTGTGATTCTATGCCCTGGCTGGTTTCCCATCCTGAGGTCTGCACCACTTTCAGGAAGGAGCAAGGGGAAGAGCTGGGTCCAGCCAGGGAATTCAGCCCGCATCGAACGCGTTCAGGTCAGCCTTCCTCGGAGGGTGACGTCTGACACCGATTGCCCTCCTTGGGGACAGTGGCAGGAGCCTGGGGACACTTTTGCAGAGGGATCCTTCCCAAGGCACTGCAGCTATCGCCACGCAGCCGGCCCCAGCTCAGCGAAATGACAAATCCATCCAGCCGGTGACGGAGCCGCATGTGATGCGCAGGATGACTCAGACCTTCCCCCGGTGGGCTCAGCTCTCCAGGGTCCCCCCCCCCCCCCCGCCACTCCTGTCCCTCTGCTCCTGCACGCCCTGGGGACACGGAGCAACCTCTGCCCCGCGACGCCTGGCTGTCAGAGCCATCCTTTTTCCTTTCAGTGCTTTATCCAGAAAACGTCTGACATCCCGAGGATCAGCTAAAGATGCACTTTGACACCTGGGAGCAAATTCACCGGGAAAAACTTCGGCGTGGCTCCAGGGTGAGAAGCCTCTGCCAAACCTGCTTTGCGCTGCTTCCTAGGGCCACCCAAGTAAAACCTCTCTTGTGTATTCCCCAAACCTGTTTCCCAAAAAGCAATTCCTATTCTACCACTCCTCTGGCAAAAGCAGGATCTGACCAAACCCCGCAGCCAGACGGGCTGAGCTGCAGGCTCGAGCCCCCATAAAGTACAACCGAGCTCCAACTCTTTTGCACCCCAAGGGCATATTGCAGAGCAGTTGCCTTTCTCTGATTTTACCCAGCCTGTGAGCATCCCAACACCGAGGCCACAGCCCCGGGGCCACCACGCTCCCTTGCCCTGCAGAACCCTGTGTTTGGGTTGCAAGCGCCCCACGGGGTGAAAGCCTCCCAGACCACATCGAATGGCCCAGTTCTGTCAGCTGCAGCAACAGAAAGCTGGCTTCGCATAAAACCCCATTTGCCAAAAAGCTCCCAAATGTCACACTTTGATGCAAGCACAGTCCAGATGTCATTTTTTTTGCAGTCGGCCAGGGGCTGCTGTGCAACAGGGACATGGGCTGGAGCCTTCCACACTTCAGCCCGGAGGTGACAGGAGCTGCAGGGACGTCACGGCTCTAATCCCCACTTTCTGATAAGTCCCCTGACAGACAGACGAGTCACTTGACTGACCTGTGCTTTCGTGAAACCCTGCCAGAAATTGTGAGCGAAAGAAATCAGAGCTTTTTCAGGCGAGGAATGAGAGGAGAGAGATCTACACTGGCTTCCTGCTCGAGCTTTCCTGGGTGGGGTGCAATATGGGAAAGGGGAGTCTGTCCCAAGCCAGTGTCCTGGCAAAAGCAGGACGGGGACCTCCTGGGGACCACCTGCACCCTCTCCAGCAAAGCTCGTCCTGATCCACACCTCTGGCCAGGCTTTCTTCCCAATTGCCCAGCTCAGGCAGGTCCTGGGAACCCACCCCAGAGGCAGCTGCCTCCTTACGGCAGAGGGGTGAGTTATTTTGGCCCCTGCCTTCTCTCGGGCAGCGCATCACATTGAGAACATGCTCGGAGCCCCGTCCAGACGAAGGGGGCCAGCGAGCCCCATCCTGCTCTGTGCCTCCCCCCCGCAGCCTATTAATAGGAGAATTGTTCAGGATCATCTTCCCGGCCCAGCAGCTGCTGACATTTGGAGCCTGCCTGATCTGCGGCACACAGGGACCATGCGGCTGCGTTTGGCATGGCCACAGATGACCTTATCCCAGCTCTGCTCTCCAGGGGACAGGAATCTCCCAAGTACCCCCAAAATTCCTTTCTCCCAAGCCAGCTCCAAGTGAGCCGCCTTTCCCGTGCAAGGCTGTGAGCTGCATTTCACGACAGCGTGAGCTTGCACTGCAGCGCTCCGCTAGCTCAGGCTTGCAACCCTTGACGTCCCTCAGTTGCTGCTGTACTCATACCCTGCCTCCCTCGTCACAGAGCGCTGACCCAGAATCCACAGGCAAAGTCCTAAAGCCCCCTTAAGCATCAGATTTCCCATTGGTTTCACGTGGGATGGCTGGGGGTTTCTGGTCTGAGCAACTTGCTCAAGGTCTCCCAGAAGCCAGCAAGAGAGCAGGACCTTCCACTGGCCAGAACTTTCCAGCCCATCATTTCTTTAAGAGACTAAAGCTGGGGTAGCTTTTTCTCCAAAAAACCAAGGTCAGAGTTACAATTGCTACTGGCAGCCTGCCAGCCAAGAAGCCCCCATCCTTCTTCAAGCTCTTCTTTCTCCCCTGCTGTCCTATGAGATATTGGCAAGGGCCCACCCAGCGCACCCTGCCTTTGTGTCCCCACCATCCTCATCACCGATGCACAGAGGGAGAGATCTTGTAAAAATTAACTGGAGAAAGACCAAACCCAAATGGATGCTGTAGGAAACCGTGGTTTTGGCATGGGAACCCTGGTATCTCTCTAAGCAAAAGTCACCTTAAGAAGAGAGATCCCAGCACTGGAACCGGAGGTGTGGCTGTCACAGCAGCATACGGCACCGATGGGAAACAGCACCCAATACCTAACACATGGGAGCTGTTACAAACCTGAGACTGCATCATGTTATTTCCCTCAGAAAACAATGCCCTAAAAGGACACGATACTCCTGCCCAGAGTGACGATTGGTGCGGGTGGCTCTGATGTCACCAAGGGTCTGACAACGCAAAACCTTCAAATCACATCCCAGAAGCAAAGCTGTCATCTCCTGAAGATGCTCATGCTTAGCTTCTGGGGTGTCTGGCCATGGTACAGCAACCAGCGTGTCCATGAACAGTGCAGCCATTCATCCTGGCTCGGCGCAGTCAGAGCTACGTGACAAACACATCTATGCTGGCAACGCGGGCTGTTGCGCGCAACGGGAGCGGGAAACGTGCCGGCGGTTTTCAGAGCATGGAGGTCAGCTTCAGCCTGGATCAGGACAGTTGGGATGGGGGGGAAAAAAAAAAATCTAACACGACGCACACACTTACATTGGGAGAGGGCTCCAGCATGTTGTCTCCATGCCAGCCTGAGATGGGCACGAAGGGAACTGTGGCTGGGTTGTAGCCGATCTTCTTGATGTAGGCGCTGACTTCCTTGACGATCTCATCGTAGCGTTTCTCGCTGTATGGGGGCTCTGTGGAATCCATCTTGTTGATGCCCACGATGAGCTGCTTCACACCCAGGGTGTAAGCCAGCAGGGCGTGCTCGCGAGTCTGCCCGTTCTTGGAGATACCGGCTTCAAATTCACCAACGCCAGCAGCAACGATCAGGACGGCACAGTCAGCCTGGGAGGAGAGAGCTAATGAATTGCTTCTGTCCCTGGAGAGCATTGCTCCTGGTGACACCCCTGAGAGCCTTGAGTAAGTCCCAGATGAAAACTGCTCATGGCTTGGACAGACTCCCTGCCGGTTGCTACCCATAACCCCGCTGATCTACCTCAAAACTGACCTAACGCTGTTATTTCAGACTTACCAACTTACCGTGGTTTTGCAACATGGGTTGGAAACCAGGGTGAGTCCCTCCAGGTTGCATGACTCCAACCAGGACCTCATCTGGATCATCCAAGGATGCACAGCCAAGGCCTTATCCAAAACCCTACTCAAGTCTTTCAGATAATCTCCTTGGGTGACGGATGAGACTACAGCCATGCAAACTGTGTTCCCTGGCTTACTTCTGTACCCAGGGCCCACAGTAGAAGCTACCTGGGTTTGATGGAAAGCCATGCCTGGCCCAGATGGCATCACAATGGGAATCTCACCAGGCATGCAGTGAGGCTCATCCAGCACCCATCAACCACAGTGAGATGCAGGAATGTTCTGCAGTGCCATGAGGGAAAATGGCCCTACCCTGGAAGGGCAGGCTGTGGAGTTCGGCAATGTGATGTGGTTTATGGGACTAAGACAGCTATTTTGAAAAAAAGGAAGAAGAAAAGACCCATGGAGTCTCCTTTAGCCAATAAAACCTAAGGGATTGATGGGAGTTTCTTGTATAGCTCAGTTGGCTGAGTCTAAAATAATGTGGGAGACACCCTCACTCAAAGACCTGTAGGTCATAGCATCCCACGTCCCAGAGAGGCTGTCTTCATCCCCACCTCCTCCAAGTAGGGGAAATGGGGTGGAGAAAGCACCTCTCTGCCCAAGGAGGCCCTTTCTCCCAGATGCCCAGGGAGGTGCTACCCAGCCTCTTGCATGGACCCTGCTCAATGCCCCTTGATGTCTGCTGTCTCAACTACCCCCCTTCAAAAGGACTCTAACAGCCCCTAGATGACCCTGGGCTCATCAGCAAGCCTCAGCCTCCCACATCTGGCAGCCCCCCACCCCCTGGCCACCATTTCTCACCTGGGAGGTCCCGGTGATCATGTTCTTGATGAAGTCCCTGTGGCCAGGTGCGTCAATGATGGTGATGTAGTACTTGGTGGTCTCAAACTTCCACAGCGAGATGTCAATGGTGATGCCACGCTCGCGCTCAGCCTTCAGCTTGTCCAGCACCCAGGCGTATTTGAAGGACCCCTTCCCCATCTGGCCAACACAAAAGCAAGAGCTGGTGAGAAACCCAAGAGCACACCACCGATGCCAGTAACCCACCCTCCAGGGCACATCCCAGGCTGACACGGGCAGAGGGTCACGTTGCAAACATTGAAGGCAAAATTCCCTAAATCCAATGGCAACGATCTATTTACTAATAAACAGAGGGAAAAGGAGATATAGCTCTCAATGCATTCCTCAACAGGATGAGGAGAGGCTGGAAGAAGAGCTATGAAGTGAATTTGTGAGCGGATGGGGAGGAGCTGGAGCCGGTGACTCATGAGGTCTACTCCATGAGATGCCACGGTCCGGCACTGCTGCTGGGAAACCCCGGTGCTGAGGAATTCCACAGCAATGGTGGAAAGCTTCTTATTGCTGCATTTTAATCTATTAACTGAACCTGTGAGCCAGCTGGTTAGTGGGAAAGGGCATGGGTGCATGAGCGAGCCCATAACCAGTGCGGGTGTAGGCGGGGAATGGGTTAAAAGAAAATGAAATGCGAGATGGTTGCTATGAGCAGAATAGAAACGTGATTGATTTTTGCTACGGAGCGTGCGAATTCGCACGGGAAGCTACTGTGAGCTGCAGCCAGACCAACTGTTGTTGCCAAATGGCCACCGTCTCAGCCAGCATGGTCATGCGTAAAAGCACGCTAGGTGAGATTAGCTACCATCAATCGTTTTTTTGAGGAGCTGCTCCCAGTCTGAGCTGGGATTCTGCCAACGTGGAGGTGGGGCAGGACAAGCCCACCCCTTGCCGACCACACCGTGTGCCGGGGCAGCCCAGGGAGCCCGGCCGAAGCAAAGGGTTGATGGGCATGGCTCGTCAGCTCCTGGCCTTGGATGCAAGGTTTTGTTTAAGATGGAGAATGGAATTTAGGTCATTTGCAGATGATTTAATGGGCTCTAACCACTGTGCAAGGACAGAGCTGCGATACCCCGCTGCCATCCATCCATCCCGGTGCTCTCTGCAACCATGGTTTTTTCTGGAGTATCAACGCATAAAATTCATTCTGGCCAATTATAAATCACTGGTCCCGAGGGAAGCGCTTCGGTGATGGTCCTCGCCAAGGCGGCTAACGCGGCATCGCATCTGAACCTGCCCTGCCCACGCCGTGCCCGGGGGCTGCTCTGCCCCCGGCTCCTGCGCTCCAGCCCCGTGCCCAGGGAAGCACAAGGAATTAAGGGTGCTGGCCCATTTATGTAACAGCCGAGCGCTGCGATGACTTTGCAGCTTGCTCTGGAGGATTACGGGCAAAATCTTAAAGCCAGGGGCAAGCTTCACCCTCCTCGGAGGGGACACCGGGTTGAAAGGGTGATGCCCCATCCCCATGGGAGCTCTTGCGCCTGCAGGAAGGGCAGTTGGGGGTTGTGGAAAAATCCAGAATTGAACCTCTGCTCCTAAGCATCCTCCTAGCATCAGGCTTAGTGCAGGGACAGAGCAGGAGCTCAGAGGTTAGGCCTTGCCAGCATGCACACTGAACCCCTCTCCTGCCCGGGGAAAGGGGAGGGGGTCGTTAGAGTGCGCTCATTTACTGCTGGAAATGGCAGAGAGACACCGAGGAACGGTGCGGTTTGTGCAAAACATTAATAATTGGGCAGTTCTCGGGCAGGAGCTCAATCATCACATCCCCCAGCCTTTCGCCCATCGGCAGCCTATTCCTTCCCTTCTGGATGGGGAAACTGAGGCACAGAGCAGACCCCGGGCTCTCCACGGGAGCCGAGGGGGAATCAGCACCCTCCTGCAGGCCCCCACAACCACACACACCAGCAGCCAGCCAGCTCATCTGAACCACCCCCCCCCAGAAATCGGCATCATATGTAGCTTGAAGACAAACGAGATCCTTTTTTGAGCAAACAGTTCCCCTCCTTTCACGGGGCATATTCAGTTACCCCGAGCTGTTGTTGAAAAAAAACCCCAGAGGGCATTATCTCGCTTTGCACAATACCTCCCTGTTCAGTGCCAGAAACAGCCTCATTTTCCTTGATCAAACCCCAGCGCAGGGACAGTTTTCTATGTAGAGACAACAAATACTGATTTTTATTTTTTTTTTTTCCCCCAAAACAGAACAACTCTTCTTTCGGAGATACAGTTACCTCTGCCCCCCCGCGTCAAAAAGAAAAAAAGAATCCTTTCTCTTTTCTCTTAACAAAAAAAAAAAAATAATAATACCAGACCCTGATTTTTTTTTATTTTTTTTTGTTGGCTTTTTGGGTGCACGCAGGCCTCCATTTCCTGCGAATGCCACCTAATGGAAGCAAACCCTTCCCCAGCCCTGCATCAGAAAATGGAGTCGGTAAGCTCAGTCAATAGGCTATTAATACGACCGCCCCCCCCCCCGCCGTTTGTGGAAAAGCCAGTGAAAGTGGCTGTTCAATTAAAATAGCCGCAATCACAGCTACAATAGCCTAATCAGGCCATATCCCATCAGCAGGTGAAGGGGGGGAGATATACAGAGGGATATCGGGGATCGTTCTAAACCGAGGGGAGAAGCTCTTTGCTTAAGGGCTGGGAAAAAAGGGCTGACGGTGAGGCGGTTTAGCTGGGATGCTATCGGCCAGTTCAAAGGGTTAAGACAGAGAGATGGACAGCAAGACATCTAATCAAGGGCGGCAGCTCTGTAAATATTTCTTTTTTTTTCATTCAGATGGGGGATCTTGTCCAGAAGGGGGGAGAGAGAAAGAAAAAAAAAAAAAAAAAAAAAAAAAAGGGATATCTGCATTAAATATTCCTGGAAGGATGATGACAAGCCATCCTCTGCGAGACCAGATCTGCCCTATCAATAACACAGCCAGGCTTTTCCTGGCTCACCCACCTCTCTAGAATTTACCATCATTAATTTCTGAGCGCTTCCAGTTCACGTTTTCCTCCCCAAGACTTTTTCCTTCCTCTTTAATCCTTGTGTTTGCCACATTGTAGGTACTGGGTGGTGCTTTACCCCTGTGCCAGCCTGCTATATTGTTATAAATGTCACCATTCTAAGAGCCAAACAAAAGGGTTTAACCAAAATGCTCATACTTCATGCCAGCTTTTCTATATTAAAGGCTACCAATCAAGCTACACATCAGGCCATGTGCTTGGGAAAAAGGAGAATGGGGTTTTTAACAAACTGGATCAAACGAGGGGTCCAGCTGGTGCTGCACCCTTGTCCCCAGCAGGCGCTGGAAGCAGATGCTTCGGAGTGAAATTCAGGGAGTCCTGCCCTTGGCAGGGAGGGGTTATCAGGTTTTCCTCCTCACACACGATATTTCGAGGGAATTTTGTACCATGAAGTGCCATGGTTTGTGGTTTTTCCACAAGCCTGGCGGCTACTGCTGGTTCCCCAACCCATCTTGCAGACCTCGCCGTGCCCCTGCCCTCATTAACAGCCTGCAGCAGGGAGTCCCCCAGCTCCGGAGAAGAGGGTGGCGAGCACCCAAATGGCCTATTTTCCCAAGGCCAGAGAAGTC